ATACAGACTGTAAACAGTCTGAACGCAAAAAATAGATTATATAATACAATACAATAAAGTCACCATAATTTTAATCACATGGCAAACTGATCGCAAGTTAATTGTCGAATAATCCTCAACTAATTCTAATGAGACCGAACTCTCCTTCGTCCAATACTACCTTGAAGAATAAACATACACCGTTGCGAGACTAGGAGCAACTCGACCAATCACGTTGGAGCTACAGCATTCAGTCTCGTTTCAAGACGCTAATAACTAAATCATGTGAATTACCAAAATAATATCACAGTTAAACAAGATTGAATGTCGCTGTCTCAAAATCAAAATACACTCGCATTACTTAATCTTATTCTAACGTAATATATAACATCAAAACTCTAATCTTATAATTAAGTCGGATCTTACAAGTCCAGCTATACTACTGTAACCGGAAACACCGCCGCAAAGTCGAAATAGTTACGGGTAGCATGCCGACTTGCGTATTGGTTTTAACACAAGGGCTAAAGAGTCGCTCTTTGGTCCGGCTCTAAATTCCCATGCGTTCGAGAGGAGAGGAATGAACACGAGGAACTTTTCGTAATATATTGGAGATCTTCGGGCGATACACAATTCCACTATACAAGGCACACGATTTATTAGGTCCAAAAGCTCCGGGAAACAGGGTCTCAGCCTCAGGGATACAACGTCGAGGAAACCTAATAGACTACTGAGGACCAAAAAAGCGGACAGCAAGGGTACAGGTACGAGCTGCACCACAAAACTGACAACCACACAGGAACGGACAGCTAGGGTACGGGTACGAGCCGCACCACAAAACTGACGACCTTGCAGGAGTGGACAGCAAGGATACGGGTACGAGCCGTACCACAAAACTGAAAACCTCGCAGGAACGGACAGCAAGGATACGGGTACGAGCCGTACCACAAAACTGGCAACCTCACAGGAACGGACAGCAAGGTTACGGGTACGAGCCGCACCACAATGCCGACAACCAACGCGATGATCAGGGGCTCGGGCCCTAATGCACTGCGAAGAACACAAAACCGAGGTGGCAATTACGCCTCAAAAGCACGACTATTGAAGGGTACGAGCTTCCAATAAGCCGCTGACAATTTACTCGAGCGCAGAGGTTATTAGCCTCTGTGACACGAGGGTGCAAATTGAACGGCTGTTAACCGCCCAACGCAGCCAAAATCCGGAACTATCCAAGAACTCCACCTATGCCGTTATTAGTCCATCAGTGGAACTTATAAAGAGTTATGCCCAGAACTGCGGTGGAGTTTATTCTTGGAAGCCCAAATTTGGCTCTGTGGGAAATTTCCCACCGTTCTTTATATTTCTATTCTTTAAACTGAATTTAGTTATAATTTACGTTTGGGTAATATTAAGATTAGTCTAGGGTAAGTTTAATGTTAGGGTAATTAAGGTCAGACCCGGTTTTCCGCAAACAAGAAATTCGCACTGATACACCACCGTAGCCATACCAAATTTTGTGATCTCCAGCCTACCTGTCGTCTGCCGCCGCTACTTCACCAGCATTCAACCATAAGTCTAAATTTCTTCCTCGTTCTGTGCTTTATCTATTTCTTGGTTTGAGTGCCCGATATTCTTTCGTTTTGTTTAGTTTGCTCAAATCTATGCTTAATTATTGTGTGCGATGCTTCAGACTTCAATTGTTTAATTTCTTCAAATTCAACTTCATTAACCACTTTAGGTAGATGAGGCTTCTACTAGAGCCCTATGTTTAGAGTTCACGCCGAATCGCTTTACCTATATTCTTACTTCTACGCACCAATCTTCGACTATTCTTAATTTAATTCCGTCTGAAGCATCCACCTTCAAATGATTTCTTCTTTTTTCACCTAATGCAATTCTTCCAAAAAGTGCGTTAGCACACTGAGTGGCATTTAATCTCAGGTGATTATTTAGTTTATCTTATCCTCATATAAATTTACTGCTTTACGTTACTTTATGCTTTTTACCTTGTTTTCTATGGTCTTTTTATTTAAAATAACTAATTTTGCACAGTATGAACCTCAAACCTGCTGTGTAGCTGGTGACGAAGCAGCAGCCACGACTTACCTGCTAAGCTCTACTTCAGTTGCCGCGGTTCCAGCCATTCGTCATCTCTTGGCTTCACCTCTTTTTTTTCAATGCAACCGTCCCGGCTCCAAAGATTCAACAATGAAGATTTAAAATTGAAGCAAATGTTCTGGCCACTAAATTCAATAAAATTTTTTCTAACCAATAAATTGCTTTCCTGCCTTAAATATACGATTGTATGAAATTATTCATAGCTCTGCCTATTTCGAGTCGAAACCGTGTCACCCCTACCCAGTAACACTGAGCACACACAACTTATCCGCGAGGGGTAACTCGGCCAAAATGAGCTTACCTCAACATCCCGTTTACAATGTACAAAACAGACCTAAACACTTTCTAAGTGCAAAAAAATAGATAATATAATACAATACAATAAAGTCATTATATTTTTAATCATTTGGCAAACTAATCACAGTTAAAAGTCGAATAATCTTAAACTAATTCCAAAGTTACCAAACTCTACATCGCTCAAATAACTATCTATCGCGCACCGTCACCAGGCCAGGAGCAGCTCAACCAATCACGTTGGAGCTACACATTCAGTCTCGTCCCAAGACACTAACAACTAAATCCTACAAATATTACAGCTAGACGAGATTCTATATTACAGTCATGAAATAAATATTTGTTTACGCATTGCTTAGTCATAAATAAATTAAACCCTTGAGTTAACAAAATAATATCACAGTTGAATGAGATTCCATATTACAGTCATAAAATAAATGTTACCAACAATTGACTATATCACTAATCTAAGCACAAGATTAATAGAACGTACAGTTGAACCAATGCGTCCTAGAAACAAAAATATATATATACCACGAAATAAGCATCCCGTCATACTACGTTCTCAAAAAAATATTTCACAGAATTCGCGTTCCGTCACACACGGATTGCTGAGTTGTTAACCTCGACACGTGTGTGCAGAATGCTGAGTTGACCCGCTCTTTGTAATGTTATTACTACATGAATTGTACCTTCGTTCCGCGTTATTCTGTAGTTACGACCTCGCATTGACATTTGACCGATACCAATAACATAATTTTCGCGGTTAGCGCGTTTTTCCATTTCAAAACGGGAATTGTTCAGCATGACTTGAATTTCACGTTAAATAATATCGATTAATAACGAATCTGTAAACTTGAATTATAAATAACGAAATCAGAAATAGATCGATTATCTTCGCCGAGGAATGAATAAAAAAATTAATTTTGATCATGTTGTGAAAGTTGTCGATTAAGTCAACATTTGGCATGTTGAAAATAATTATGATTGAATCGAGTTTTTACCGTGATGAATGTTGTTAACGACTAATGGAGTAAAGATTGATCGGCGGAGAATTAGCTGCTGCGTTGCAGGGAGCTGCTGCCTTATTGAAAATTGGAGCAGCGTTAACGGTGGATGACCATATGCTTTCCTTAAGACGCCTAAAAATCGAATAAAAATTTTTGCAAAAATTGGCGAAGCTCAATGGATGAATCGATTACGTTTGATTTTGTGGAATCTGAGGGCAGTTTGTTGAACTTTCGAGAAGTTGATGTGTTCAAATGGTAAAAAAGATCAACACTCGTGGCGAGCTGGTGGTCTACAATAACGATTCTTGTTGACCACGTTGAGTGCAGTTCACCAGGATTACCACTCCGGCTGTTTTAATGCTACGATTCTATTCATGGTTCACTGGAACCAACACTAGCTTTGTTTTAATGCTGCGGTTCAGACGCCGTTTACTAGGATCAACATTCGTTTTTTTCTTTCACTGGATCAACATTCGTTTTTTTCTTTCACAGGATCAACACTCGATTTGTTTCAATGTTGCGGTTTTACTTGTGGTTCATTAGGATCAACAGTAGGTTTGTTCTATTGTTGCGGCTCGGATTACGGTTCACTGAATCAACACTATTTAATGCTGCGGTTCTGAATATAGTAATAGGATCAAAGCGTGGACGAATCGCGCATCATAAATTTAACAGATTAGGCATAGACGGTAGTAGTGTGAAACTTATCTATCGTATTTCTGGCTTATGCCCATTCACTTAACTGGGGTAGCCCATTCATCACCATCAATATATCACAAAAAGTTATATAGCAGAGAGCAGCACACTAACGTACAGCGCAGAATCTAAACATCGAACACACAACTCGAGCGATTAATAGGTACTTCTTTTCAATCAGGGAGGATAAATAATTACAATAATATATATTCAATATTACTTGTGATTCAAGAGGCAGAAATTTTATGCATGTCCTTCATTGTTTTAAGAGTTAACGGTTAAACTTTTTTTTAAACTAAGAGTTTATGTTTAACCCTCTACCGCCTTATGTCACTCTCCGGGAACATAACTTCCAACTTAAATTATACGTAAACTATTGAGTGTGGCAACCTGAGGACGTTTGTACGCAACAGAGAACATTTTAAAGTTGTCGTACGTGGCGGCAACCATCAGTGCAAGTCATTTTGCGCTCACTAGAACGTATCTTTTTTGGGAAGTAGGCTTGTGACAATATTGCTCTGGCTACTGGTGTCAGGCGGTAGAGGATTAAACTCCCCTCTTACTAAAAAAAGGAGAGGACAAATTCAAATTATAAGAATAATACCGCAAAGTAATCAGGCATAAGGTTTTACTGATTTTTGTACGAGATGATTAGACCATGCGCTTAATATTATACAAACCTTCATGCATAATAAGTGACTGGAAATATAAGACAATTAGGGAGATCGACTTTAAAAAACAACAATTTGGAACGGTCAGACATTGCATTGCACTTGACCTAATATTATCAGCTCATAATTAATAATAAATAAAACATCCAACCCGTATCTTTCACCTTTAATATTTTCCCAAGAGTTTATCGTTTTGTAAAACCGAGAGTATAACCATCCATCATTCAGATGACCATCATTGTTTTTGGCTTTCTACAAAGTTGGTTAGTTGCTTCAGAAGCTTTTCAAAACCATATACGCAAAACTGGTGTGTTTCCTCGCTGCCTCTCATTTGCCGCAATTCGTCCTCCCGAGTGTGCAGAGTCTTGGTCAAATTCTGCAGTAACACCGATACGGGGTCAGTGATGACGTGTCTTTCCCACGCAAGGAATATTTCCTGCATAACACAAACACATAAATTTCCAGTTAAACTATATAATAATGGAAATTGCAATTTCTATTCTTTACAATGACACTAACGAGATCTTTGGCTATAAGGGCAAATGTAAAAAAAAAACACATAAATTCAAGACTTATATATATATCAAAATCGGTGTAATCCGGTTAAGATCAAGTTGTAATTTAAACATCGTCCATGCCAATAATCGGGTAAAATTGGTGTGTAGAAAGGTCATGTCTTTATTTTTCGATTCTTACTGATCAGGCCGGACGAAAATTTGAATTTCCCAACGTACTTGAAACACATAAAGAATATTTTATTACATTTTGTTTTGATTAAAAATATTTCATTAACTAAATTGAATCAAACAATTTTTGAACGCCGCTACGTCATTAGGTCGCTTTTACTGCAATGAATTATCATAAACAAAATTTTCAGGTCCTTTATTAGAATAGAATAGAAGTGTCGGCACTGAAGAAATAGGCCCATGGCCTGTTGCTGATTCTTGAATTTTTCGTGACTTGATTCACAAGGGATCCTGACAAGAGGTTAGTGGTGCAGGATCTCCCGGCAATAAAGCAATGTTGACAGTCTGATAGGAGATTATTAACAGTCAAATGATCTATCAATCGATCCCTCACAATAGATTCCATTACCTTGCAAACGACACTTGTCAAACTGACAGGGCGATAGTTACCCGGGCAGCTTTTGTCGCCTTTCTAGCGCATTTTCTCATTTATGGAAAAAATGCACTATTGTGCTCGCCATGTCCGTCTGTCTGTCCGTCCGTCTGTCCGTGACCTCAAGTTTTCGTCGACGAGAAAATGCGCTCTCTGTCACTCACTGCAGTGAGTACTGAGTTATATTTTTTGAATAATGGTGTCACTTAAGCTTTTTCCAGTCAGCCGTCAAGATCCCTTCGTTCAAAGTTTTTCGAAATAATGACGTCAAAGGGCCGGCTAGGACAGTTGCCAACTCTTTGAGTAATCTGGGGGTTGAAGCCGTCTGGTCCACATGACTTTTTTGGATTTACAGCGATAAGGCGCTTGAAAACCTCTTCTTCTTGTATTTCAAAACTTGTTAACTTAGAGCCGACTTGGCGCTCCTCAATAGCTGGAATACTGTTCAAGTCCTCTTCAGTGAATACGCTACTGAAAAACTGATTAAGAACGTTAGCCTTGCCCTCATCAGAGGATATCTTTCGTTGATCTACTTTCAAATCAGAAATACCGTCATTTATCTTGCACTCGAGCTAGTGTACAAAAAGAAGGCTTTCGGGTTCTTTTTTTTGCATTTTTAGCAATATTTTTTCGAGGGTTTTTACTGCGGTGCGACAGCTTTCTTTAGCTTGATTTCGAGCTCTTGCGTATAGGTTATAGTCAGCACCATTATTGTGCTTTATGTTTTGGTTCCTTCAGTTTATAGAGCAGTTTTCTTCAAGAATATAACCTAACGTTTTAACCTAAATATATTATGTATCAAATTATCTAGACTTAAATATGAATAAGATATGATAACTGTCCTTTATGACGAGACATTTCTGGAAAATTTCACTATTTTTTTTAATAAATTCTTTAGATTAAACTCCTCAATAAGCCTACCTAACTATACATGCTATCTTGTGATTGAAAAGTGATTGTGATTCAACATTTCTTTAAATTCCCAATTAGATATATTGCTCATCATAGAGCATCTCTATGTTTAGTTCGAGCTATACAGTTGAGTGGAACAGGTGATTTCAGGGTAATTGATTGATATCAACTAGTTGGAAATGTTGAGCTGCATGCACGAAGGCGCATTGAACTGCTCCCACACCTACCTCAAACTCGATGTGCGTCCATATACCTAACCACTTTCTGACATCTTCTAATGGTTTAAATTTCCTTTTATCTTCCTGAATTATTTAAACATTAATCAAAATGCATTAACAGTTAATCAACGGATATTATTTTTTTATTTCATACTTTAGGTAAAAAGAAATTTTTTTAAATGCAAAACGTATTTTGTTATTTTCGTGGCCTGAATTTTTGAGCAGCAACAAGCTAACTTCCTTCCCGTGCAGTTAGGCTTTGTAGGCTATCATTTCTAATGTTTTTTTGCCACTAAATACTCTCTCATATAGAGAGAAAATATTATACGCTTACTTAAGAACACAATTTTTTATCGGCAGTAAGAACAATCTTGAACGAAGTTGTCATTTAGGCATCATTTCATTGACGTGGAGTGAATTGAATGCCGAAGATATACTATATACATGCACCAGACAAGGTATCAATTTATCGTCCTGGTTCAAAACTATTTTTAAATTTCTTGTAAATCACCAATACTGTATATAAAGTAGTCTGCTCTTTGAATGGAACCCATCATTAGAAATCAAATTTTGAGTCGAATGACTCACAATTATCAGCTTGAAAAAAATCGCAAAAGTCTACTTCAACCACTGCATGAGGGTTGTTGTGAGGGTATCAATTTTTGTGGTGTGAAACACAAATATTTCATCGCTCTGTGACCTCATTTATCCTGCACATACAATGCCGGACAACTAAAAAAGCTGACGAATAAATTGTTAAGAAGATTCACTGTAGTCTAGAGATTAGAAACTCTCATCACAGATATAAATAGAATTCTAATGTTGATAACTTACTTGCATTGGGATCAATAGGCGGTCAATCGGTTGGGTTGACCAGAGCTGACGGCGAAAAAACCTTGACCTCGCTCCATGCACCAAAGAGAAGCCCGTTTGCTCTATGGAGCTGCAGCGCCAGTTCGTTGTCAGGCACTGTTCAGTTATACTTGCCCAGTCACAACTGAGATCATAGATGTATTCTGGAAACTAAATCGAAGTCAGTCGATGGCTCTTATTTTTTCGTCAGACGAACTGAATTCTACAAATTTTTTCATCGAAAAGTCTTTGACGAATTTTTTAACGAGTCGATATTAAAGAAACTGTCAATAGAAACTCATGTCAGGAATGGCAACAGCAATTTGATTACACATTGCAAATCTTGCTGTTGAGAGAGAGCGTGCAATAATACTGTCAATCTTAGAGCAGCTAAGTTAGATTAATCGTCACCGGTCTCTGCAGATGCGCAGCCATTTGCGGGCTAATGACACGGAGACCAATAAAAATAGAAATAATAATGCTATGCACAGACACAAATTGACACCAAAGAATTTATCGAAGTCACGTATCCTCATAAAGTGGCCCCACGACGCATAATAAAAATTTATAAATCACAAATGAACATAAGGCCGTAGATGGCAGTTCAAGTCAGGACAAGCGTTCAAGATCCCGACAACTGTTTAAGGCAGTGGTTCCCAAACTTTTTCAGGCTGGCGTCCCCTTTGGCTCCCTAGTGAATTTCTAGCGCCCCCCACAGACATACGCCACTTTCTTGAAATTTAGTACGCTGCAATTTTAAAAGATAAAGGTTAAACACAAATGTGTATTTCGCAAATAGAACCCCATTTAGTGAACCAATATGTTTTTCAGCTGTTTCAACTGTTTTAGCACTAGAAGCCAAGGACGTCGCGGGCGAATTTACGGCCGGACTCGCGGCCGTAAATTCACGCACGACCAATCTCCAAATTCAATTATCAAGTAATATCTCCCAAACTAATGAACACAGCTCTATGAAACTTGGTACACGTATTTATCAGAACCTAACGGTGATGTTTAGCTCGTAATTTTTTTTTTAATTTCACCTTCATTCGTGATTTTCGCGTATATTGCGTGCGAAACAGGCCGAAATTCGCAGTGATCAAAGAATTTCTTCCAAACTATTGAACAGATTTGAACGAAATTTCGAATATACATTCCTAACTACCAAGCGGTGATTTTTTAGCTTATAAATTTTTTTCGATTTTACCTTCGTTTGCGAGTTTTTTTTCATTTCACCGTCATTCTTGATCTCACATTTCCTTATATTCGGCCCGTATCGCCGGGTAATTTGTCGCTTAAATTCGCGGCGATCAAGAAATTTCTTCTAAACTACAGAACAGGTTTCAGCGAAACTTTGTATATAAATACATAACCTCTCAGCGGTGATGTTTATCTCGTTACAATTTTTCCATTTTGCTTTCGTTTGCGAGTTATACAGATATAGTAGGAACGACCGGCTTTTCTACCGGTCGATCGATGGCTTCTATGTATCAGAATCAGTATACGTATAGCCGTATAACTCGCAAACGAAGGCAAAAAGAAAAAAAATGTAAACATCACCGTTGCTGAGGTTAGGTATTTAAATACTAAGTTTCGTTCAAATCTGTTCAGTAGTTTGGAAAAAGTTTCTTGATTTCTACGAATTTAAGCAGGAATTGCTGTTTAAATCACGAATGAAGGTGAAATGAAAAAAAAAATCGCGAACGAAGGCACAATCGAAAAAATTTTCACGAGCTAAACATTACCTTTTGGTAGTTAGGACTGTAAATTCAAAATTTCGTTCGAATCTGTTCAATAGTTTGGAAGATATTACTTGGTCACTGTGAATTTCGACCCGTATTGCCATATAAGATATAAATATGGCAAAAACAAACGATGGAGTTCATTAGTTTGAGAGATATTCCTTAATCATTGAATTTGAAAATTGGCCGTGAGACCGGCCGCGAGTCCGGCCGTTAATTTGTCCAAGACGTAAACCCAGGAGAGGTAACTTAGAACAACAGAAAAAACCATCGCTGGGAGCCATGTGCTGCACGTGTTGTGTACAAATCGTCTAACAAACATTCGAACTTCTGACATTGATTTCGGACTACCGCCCCCTATCGCCCCCCTACCACCCTCTTCTTCTTTATCGCCCCCCAAAATCTTTCCACCGCCCCTAGAGGGGCGATATCGCCCACTTTGGGAACCACTGGTTTAAGGGGTTGGCTCCGAACTTGAAGTCTGCCCGCCTATTTGTCAGTATCTTGACAAATTCTTAGGCGCAACATTGAAGTTAAGCAAGAAGCAACAAAAATCCTCCCATTTCTCCGCTACCTTTCATGAAAGATGTATCAAATTGACTACTTCTAACGAGTAATGTATCCAATATGGTATTAGGGATTGAATAAGTTTATATTTTTTATTAGTGAGAGTTTGACATGACCTTGACCGAATTACGGAAGCTAGTTTAGTCTTGTGTTTGCCGTCGATGTGTAAGGTGCGTTTCGTGTTTATTGGAAACGTGAAAACGGTGGATGTTAGGTTTCGAGTTAGCCGTTACATTTTCAAGCGTGTATATTTTTTTGTAAATATTTGAGCAGCATTTCAATAGGCACATCTTTGTCCTTGTGATCATTATTTAATGTTCACTTCTTTATTAGATATTTATTCATGTTAATTTATTCATTTCAGGAGTCACAGTAATAGACCGGAACTCGTATTAACAAATGTTTCAGTATTGATCTGATTCATCGCAATGGTTTGTAATATTCTCAGTGTTCACTCGGTAATAAAGATACACCAGAAAATTTAATTGCTGAGGTCTCTCGATAGCAAATAATTTCGACCCTTAATGACCGATGCGATATACGTCTCGTCACGTTCAGTCGGATTGCATCACGTTTGCAGTAGCACCACGACCTCGTGTTTTTTACGTTCTTGTATCGTATTAAAGCAACCTAGTTTTTCCGATGATTTGGTAAGAACCTTGTTTAAATGTACTATTACTGTTGTCTATTTTGTACCCATGATCAGTCATATACTAGGTAAATCGAAACGGCATTTGGTATACCACTATTGAAGTTAATACCTTGTCCTATTTCGACTTGTTGCAGAAACCACTTCTGGAGTAAATAAAGTTCCTGTAACGGATTATCTTTAACTCTCGTTCAAAGAAACCCGAAGTTTCTTTGCAGTCATACTTATTCACTGTAGCTAATGGAATGACCTGTACGATTGCTTGGCTGAACAATGCAGGGACGAAGATGGCTCTATTTTTCTTTTTATTGGAATACGTCTCTAGCAATATAACCCCGCAAGACAAAATAATGACCATGTTAAATTAAAAACATCGCATTCCATAGGATATTGCAAAATTGCACAATCGAAAAGAACCAGGATCGGCATGAATCTGGACAAAAACAATACCAAGATATATAAAACTTAATTTACAACACCACGAACTCTAACTTTTGACGATCGCTATGTGAGACAATAAACCCTTCTCTCACCGCAGCCGCCAAAAGGTAATGTTGGCATTATTGGATGATTTCTCAACATAAATCATGTCCAGGTTACAGTGTGTTAGCATGAAAGATATTGACTCGTATCAGCTACCTACGAGCGAATAGTTGACGCAGGCCTCCGGGACATGTACGCTACTGTGTTTTAGAAAATTTCTCGGGAACGGTCAACACAAACCTGGATTTTGCAATCGAGGTCTGCTGTTGAACTCACAGCCTTGTATATAAACACCATAATATACATATGTATAGATGGAGAAATAAGCTACATTAACAATAGATTTCTGGTTTCTACCGGCTGGCCCAGAGATACACGAATGACACAAATAATTTTCATTTTAGTATATGGGTTCAAAGAATATTTAATTCCGTTTGAGGCATAAAGATTTGATTAATGATCATGAGGCAAAGCTTAGAGTATGAACACAAAGTGTTAGAGCATACATTAGAGATATGGTTTGAATCTGCTGGTATGGAACTGAAGACGAAACATGATATCGGAATGCTTTTACAAAAGTGACACATACGGTATATCCTTACTATAACCAGGCAAGCATGAAAGTGCTGGTTGAAGCCTCGATACGGTAATCAGTTACTTCTAAAGAAAGATTTATAAACTTTTTATCTCAAGGCCGGCTTGCAGAAGTTAGGCGGCTTATGATACATCGAAAAGCGGCCAAAAGGTTGCCCGCTGAAGTGCCTCACAAATTCTCCCTTCTATGAATCATGTAAGAGAATGACAGAATTTCACTTTAGTTGACTCATTTTGTTAAATTACTTAGAATTGTGACAACTCGACATATAGTTGTTTTTAGGTTAGTTCTAAGAATTAGGTGTGGGTTAATTTATTTGTTCAGGATAATGTGTAGCATGGGTATTGTTTAGGGTCTCAAGTTAATTAGGGTTTATATTGTCGTGGCTCATACGCTCCTTCAATTTCAGCGATGCGAACAATACACTAAAGTCTTTTATGATAGTACAGGGAGAATTGACGGAAACTTCCTGTTTTGTATTTCATGCCAAGCAATCAGCTGTTGTAGGAAAAGGAAGGAGAGTATTACATGTGAAAGCAAGGTTGTAATGTTCCTATTGGTTCAGGTTCAAACAGGTGGATTTATTTGATTCATTGACGGCAAATTCCGATGGGTTGTTACTTGTTAGAGATATTAGGCTTGGTCCAGGTTCCAAGTTTATTACGTAGAAAGCAGAACAGAGGAGAGAAGTTCTCTAAGAGCAAGAACGCAAGCGGCTGGCTTCAGTAAGGATCAACGAAACGGATGACCAAACCGTAAGACAGGTCCTTCCAATACTTAGGTTGATCTTGCTAGAACATCTGCTACAAAATTCCTAAAACTAAAATTCATTACATAGGTCATTAAGTTTTGTGTCCCGCCTAGTCAATTGCCACTATCTATTGTAAAAGCGAGCAGTGTGCGTTTGCTGCCTAGACGTACTTTTCTGACGAGTTCAATTATCACTACTTATAACGAGCATTCCGTACTCAGAATGCGCTTCATTTCCTTGAGAGGTGGCCTTCTTTGGCCGGCTCGATCCTCCGATTCGACTCAGTGTGATTTTTTTTCGTGGGATTATCATAAATCAATTGTTTACAGTGACTGTCGAAGGACCCTACCTCATTTGAAGAACAACATGTGCCAAGCCATCGCCAACATACCTGGCAATATGCTTCAGCGAGTTGAACGGAACTTCCAAAATTGACTAACTGAATGCGTTGATAGTGGGGGCCGTCATTCGTCCGATGTCATAATTAAAACTAAAATGATATGAAAATTCAGGTAATGTCTTTTTAATAAAATGTAAATTGTAATGATTTTTGACCAGTTATTTTTTAGTGAGATTTCAAATCAGGAAGTTACCGTGAATGACCCTGTATAATTTTGGAACTACTTGAAAGATAAATCGAAACACCGGAGATTGACGACCATAAACTCAGACAACTTCTACATATATAACAGCGTACATTAGATTATTGATCTACCAAAAATCCTATCTTCCCTAGCAAAATTTAGAGCCGAGGGCGGCTCTGGATTAAGGAACACCAAGGACGCGGGGAGCATATAGTCCACCAGCTTCCATATGTCCGCTTTTCGGTCTACATTCCGGTCCCCGAATCAGACAGCTACAAGCGTGTGGTCCTTATTCTGCAAACTCGATCTTGCCCTACTCTCAGGAGACTGTAAAGTCGGCAAGGAGCTGTTCTGACTAGTCGCTGATTGCGATCAGTTGGCCAACTGACCCAGAATAACTCTTACGCGAACATAGCAACTCTGGGGCGGAGGCTGAAGCATACCCCGAATTTTGTTAGGGTTAGGATACGAGTTTTATAAAGAACCTCGGTTCACACAATGCTTGGATATTTTTTATAAAGACAAATGTAAATAAAGTAAGAAAAATGCAGACTCGATTTAACCATTAAATTTGTAATAAATATCAACTGAAATTAATAAGTCATGCTAATAGGGTGTGGTGATCTTATCAAAATTATTCGAACATCTGCGACTTTTAGAATCCGTACAAAAATTGCAGTGGTTGCTTACCTCACTGAAAATAATGTTGAAAATATCTTGGTCTCCCACTACTATTTTGTCCTTGAAATGTTCAGTCACTCTCTTGACCATGAGCATCCAGGGAAATGGAAGATTACGCCATCGCGTTAAGTTGCTCAACAGCAGCGCCGCGCTCAAGCCTTGCTCTCCGTAATATGGGATCTAAGTGGAGGAAAATCCGAGGCATTTTTTTACTATTAAGACAGCTGACTAATACTGAAAAATGAGGCTAAAATATTTAAACCAGATATTTCATCGAGTAATAAAGTTTAGGTTTCTGACATGCAAATCAGTTATAAATTGTACCAATAGAGCCTAGATTTTTGATACCTTCCAACTGTCCTCGACGATCTTTACTATAAACCTAGGGACTCAATTTAGGCTACTTCCATCAATTTTACAAGAACAGACAGCTTAGAAAAATATATACATTTAGACCTTATTCACATTTGATCGGTGAAAAATTATACATGTACCTGGAGTTGAAAGAATATAGTAATACGTTTCCATTGTGATATTATTTAGTGAAGAAGACTATGATTGACATAAACGCTAGATTATGAACAGATCTGAATCCAACACTGAAGATGTGTAAATGACGATTTCGGGTACTTTTTGATAACGAACAATTGCTGTTACATTTCTCACACGCTGAAACATCTATAGATTGACTATTCTATTTAGAAGATTTTGTGTGATTTACCTCTATAGTGAATTGCAGGTAGTAGCCGTCAACAGGCGCCACGCCAATGGCTTGTTTATCATCGAAGTTTTTGAAAAGTTGTGTCAAATGCTCTGGAGGTCTCATGAAGACGTGATCAGTATCCAAATAAACCACTGAATCAAACTCTGGCAACGCCCAAGGCAGGAACAATTTCTCTGTGTCACACATCTCGTAAAGGTCGATCCAATACCAAGTGTCCGGCACGAAAATTTTCCGAAAGCTCAAAGAAAGTCGACTTCTTATTTCATCTGGCCATTGAGACACGTACGCTTCGATGATGGGTAACACGGTGTCGTCATTTCCCACGATGATGAACCTATAATAGGAAAGGAAAAATGCTTACCAATCTGTGAGCGCGATGTCGAAAGGAAGCAATCAAGTCGGTTATTGTCATAATGACCTGGGCCCATACTTTCAAAAATAGTTAAGAGATCGTAAGTTCATCAGCCAACCATTGACGGCATTTCAAGCAAAATCCACAAATTATAGAAATGAAAATTGAGCGTAACTACTTACGCTCACTTAGCTAATTTTGAAAGTATGTCCCCTGCTCTGTTTTGGAAACATTTTTACGCCAAGTCAAAAATCCGGCCGTGGATATTGATGTAGCTAAAAAATCGTACGGTTTCTAACGAAAGAAAAAACGTGTTAGAAAAAAGTGACCCAGTAAAAGACCAAAGCCTATACTTAAAAAAAAAGTTAAGAGATCGTAAGTTCATCAGCCAATCATTGACGGACTTTCAAGCCAAATCCACCAATCATAGACAAGAAAATTGAGCGTAAGCACTTGCGTTCACTTAGCGAGTTTTGAAAGTATGGCCCCAGTCATACCCCTTTTTTCTATTCCTGAGAAAGTGAATGTTGAGACTATATTAACTTCCTTGATTACTGTAGACTAATTTCCAGCTTCAAAAAATACTAGTAAGTAACTGTAGTAGATTCATTTACGAACATCACAGATAAAATGAATTAAGGCAGCATACTTACATACTTGGATTTATTTTTGAATCAAAACAAGATTCTTCCCAATAATGTCCAAAGTTTCGTTCTTAAAGTATTGTAGAAGTGACTATGTGGATGTGGCAGTTGGAGCAACAAGCAAACTGAAGAGATAACAATTTTTGCCTACATTTTGAAAGAGTTTTGCTCCCAGTGATGCATGTCATACTTGAGAATGCTCAGAATACACTAGGGAATGCTTTACGTTGAACCAATGAAAATGCTTGCCATTTCTAATGACAATAGTGCCCGTAAGAATTAACTTTATGACCGTATTACTAATATCCGCAACATTTTATGAGAATATGATACAATAAAATGGGCATACATCCTAAAATAGGAGGCGCAGCCGAGGACCACAAATTTATGTCGTATGGGCCATGGAGCAAATGCCCAGCCTCAGCATGCAACAACTACACTGAGCCTCAGAGCTATCAGTCACAGACTGTTCGTATGCTGGAACTCCGTAATCCAGACCAGTGAAAAACTGATCAATGATAACAGCGCCATTGATCTTCAGTCAATACTTAAGCCTGCTCAATGATAAACAGGTTGTTCTGCATCCGACGTGACTAACTCCGGCCTAATATCTTCTGGCCGACCTATTCACGCCGCCCCGACTCACACCTTTCCAGCAGCCAATCAGGTTAGGTTACGTCCGTGCAAGTTTTTTTTTGGTTATAGAAATGTAACCACGCGAGAAAATTAGGCCGGAATAAGTTAAGCCCCGTCCACACGCTCAAACTTATCGTCAGTCTTGCATGTCATGCCAGGTTTGACGACAAGACGGAGCGTGTGCCGCAGGGTGCGTACCAATCCTGGAAAATCTGAAAAGTCCTGAAATTTGATTTTTCATTTTCCAGGCCTGGAAAATACTGGAATTTGCAAATAAATAAAAAGGAAGTATTTTTCTGTGCTGCGTGTGTCAACCCTAATCTCCACGGGTTGTCGTGTCACGCTACAACCTCGGGTACGAATGATATCTGCCCTTAATATTGTTAAGTATTTTTTAGGTGTCTTCTATTTACATACGCTGCGATTATTTTACCAGGCATTAACATAGATTGTTTCCTATCAAATGCAGTCTTCAAACGCACAATTGTGAACTCGAATCCATTTTTGAAAATTATGAAAATGAAAGGACCGAATTTCTGGCCTCAAGCAGAGCCATCTCCGTGTACGACAACTCCAACCGCTCGAACTTGTGTCTATGTTACCCTTGGGGAGGAGACTGTAAGTCATTCACTTGTGCGTGTGCCTGAGAGCATGTGCATATTTATCACTGATGCATGTGTAGCTTCAGCACTGGTGCACCTCCTGCATCTTCAACGCTAGTTTCTCTCAGTTTCTTTGTTCCTATAGTTTTTTATCTCATTGTCTGTGACTTCGTTGCCCGCCATTGAAAGAACTGCATGAAATGAAACGCATTAGCGGAGCGGGAAGCTCAAGTACTTCCCTGAAGTTCCAGCTAATATATTATTGATCCAACACCAAGAATAGATATCAGTTGAAGAGTATCTCGACAGACAAGGCTGCGAGATTAGTGGTTATTTTTTACGGTGGTTATTAGAAACTAAGGGCGTTTCCCAGCTAACCCAACGCGATTAGCGTTAAACTGTTTCTGCAGTCTCTTGTTTCCTGCGTTCTGATTGGCACGCATGAAATAAGAGTCTGTGCCACAGTCTCTTGTTTCCTGCGTTCTGATTGGTTCTCCAATCATCGTCTGTCATGCGATTGGAGAACCAATCACGTGAGCTCAGTCACCGGGCTGGCGGGCTCAGTTGTATTCGAAACTATTTGATGTGCGGTGGCAGCCTTCCCTCTTAAGCGTGCAATTTGTACATCGCCATGCGTGGAAAGCGTAAATTTCATGACTCGTGGTTAAAAATAGAAGCTTATCGCTCGCCATCCCAAGCATGAAGGTATGGCGATATGTACAGTGTGCTCGAAAGACTTCGATGTGTCTAATATGGGGAAATCAGCTTTGAAAAGTCATGCGAAAGGCAGCAAACACACCAAGTTAGCTAAGCAACACGGTGAAGTGAAAAGCAAAGCGCAGCCACGCATTTCCGATTTGTGGCCTGATGCAGCTGCAGTTTCTTTCTCCAAAGTGTATAAGGGAATAGTCCGTCGCAAAAGTCAGCACGCATCAGCACTGCAGTGTCTACTGCCACTGTGAATTATGTAGAGACGGAGAGCAGGCCTGTATGTGTATCCACTGCCAAAGCCAACCCCAATGCCGAACTAACCAGCTTTGTAACATAAGAAGATGTTTTGACGTCTGAAATTTGGTGGGCATTGGCGTTCTGACGTCTGAAATTTGGTGGGCATTTCCAGATTTGTGTCATTTTTGATCCTCTGTGTCCTCTGCCCGCTCTATGCATTTACACGTTTGCTAGTTATCAACTTTAGGAGATGATAGAATATGCACGGTTACTCTTTCAGTCATGCTAAACCTGTCGTATACGAGTCCTGGAAAATTATACTGATGATCATGGAGAGTCCTGGAAAAGTCCTGGAATTCTTTTTCTCAATATCGGTACGCACCCTGGTGTGGACGCTCAAAGTTTGAAGTCTTGCATGACGGGTGGGCGGAGTTTGAGGTTTGACAAACCTGGAAAAGACGGATGGGCGAGACCTTTGGGTTCATGCAAGACTGACGATAAGTTTGAGCGTGCATATAAGTGGACTTTTACGCTATCTCAGTCTATAATCTACATTGATGATGAGAGCTGTGACATTGTTCCCCGCTAGCTCTAGTTTTTCATATCCCAGGATATCCGACACTGGTTTCACGATTTATTTTTGTGAGTTTACGGAGTTATATCGTAGTTTCCCACGTTTATGGTAAATTTGATCAAAAAGCTTATGTGACAAGAACAAGAGAGCAGTAGCCTATGCCGCATTGATCGCTAAGTGCAAAGAAGTTTATCGTACAGCAAACAATGACTTGTAACGTAGAAAATAAACTCTTTATCGAAAGAATGTGCCAAAATGAAGTCGTCAATGCTGTCTGGTGCTGGTAGGGATGCTGTCTATCAACCCTCATTGTGGTATTTTTTAAAACAATTTTCGGGACCACCGTAGCGAGCAGCGCTAGCTCCTCCATTGCACTAAATCGCACTAAAAACTGAAGGAAAGTTTGAGCGTGTTGACGCTCGTCAGTCTTCCGTCAAAATCGCTCAAATCTGGCATGACATGCAAGACTGACGATAAGTTTGAACGTGTGGACGGGGCTTTAGGTCAGATGCAATACGAATGACCATGCTTACCTGTGGCTGTTGTTGTGTACATGCTTCGCTATAGCTTCGAGCCATAGCTATGCCATATTCCATGCTTCGCTATAGCTTCGAGCTCCTTAGGCTGCTCCCATAGGCAGGAATATGAACCAAACGTCAAGTTGATAAATGAAAGGAAAACTACATCAATAAATGAACACAAACCTTACAAAATGTCTATACTGTACTATATGTTTTGGGGGGGCGCATGGCGGAAGCCAGCTATGCCCAACTTCATACATTTATTCATATTTCTTTCCGTGGGTAAGAACGCTAGAGGTCATAGCAGCCCATGAAGTCAAGTGCTTGAAACAATATAGCGCCATGTGTCCCCAGCATCAGCCTAAGCTTGCTAAGTTAAGCATGCATGGTCCTACATTTTATATCTGGCCTAAGTTATTCCGGCCTAACCTACTCACGTCGTTACATTTTTTAATGACGAGCCGATATTTACATATTATATCTACCTGAGCCGATCTTGCCCATTTTTTTTGACTGCAGGACGTTAGAGCGGTAGAGATAGTGAACAGGTAGGGCAAGACATAAGTTGCGAGAAAGTGGTGGCGTGACAGCGGTGGCAGCGTAAATAGGTTAGGTACGTCAGAAGGGGTTAAGCCAGAGTTGGTGAGGCCAGGGCAGAGATTAACGAAACTTTGCTAAGTACACGTAACTTTTCGTACTTACGTTCAAAAAGTTACGTATTGCGTAAGTCAGTCAAAATTTGGCATTAACAAAACTGTCTTACGCAAGACTCATCTGAAAAGGTATTATCGAAACCATCCAACTAACTGACCAATCAGAGGCTTCGAATTTGCCATTCCTAGCTTCTGTCGACTCAGTGCGCAGTGCGCGTGGATGAAAGGAGGTTGTATTGTGTCAGCGTCATCTGCGTTGACTGACTAGGGAGCATATGGAGAAATGAGTGAGACGTTGTCTAAATAGCAATGACAACGCCTTGATTGTAATTTTTTGCAATCAAGGCAAAAAATTA